CGCAGTAGCCCTTTCAGGCGGACATGCCTTTGTGCTCTCCGGAGGCGGGGCTTCTCAGAATCAAGGAGCCCCTGAACCCAAAGTCTAAACCCATCTCCTAAAGCCTGAGCTCTAAACCCAAGCTGAAACCCAAAATCCTAAAAACTCAACCGAGGTAGTACCGCGGCCATCCATACCATTGATATCAGTGATGCTGCAAACCCGACATTGGTGGCCACTTTCCAGAACCTTGGCAGGCTGTAGAGAACAGGTGTCGAACATAAGCTTCGTTTCTACCCACTCCAAGAAAGTATACTCCCTAATAAGTCCTTGTCGCAAGGACCCCAAAAGCTGTACACTATAAATCAACCACAGATCCGGCAAGCAACGGTTGCTGCCATACTACAAACACGAAGGAACGCCAGCTTGGCGGCACCGGTGGCGTTGACTATTTCCGGCACCTATGCCTACGTGCCAGGGTATGATTTGGTTTATGTCTAAAGCATGAGTGCGTTTTTGGGATGCTGGTATTAAGCAGTGTAGCAGTATGCGGATATAGATCGATATAAACGGCCTTGGCTTAACTTTGGCAAGCGCCGATTGTGCTGGGTTCCCCAAAGTCGGGCCAGCCATACAGCCACAAAAGTGCAGGGTGGTCCATATCAGGTTTCCATCACTTGAAGCTCGTAGTGGATGTTATGGTTTTGCATCGTGGCCTTCTGTCTGAGACACAGTCCCTTTGATTCGGTCTCACCGAGCTTTGTGGCAATCCCTGGATCCTAAGCTGCAACTCTCCAAAACGATGAAGCATAAACCTAAATCTAAACCCAACATCCTTGAGCCCTTGCACAACACCCTTCTCTTCGGACCCCGCGATGAGCAAGCTGTACGAAAACTTTCTCATGTTGTCATATAAGCCTCTGACTCAAGTAGCAGTATGCAGCATTTCTAGAAGGGTCATTACAGGATCCCCATAGAAAAACCGTGTGAGGGTGTCTTTTTGGGGCTGCTAACATTCCATGGCTCATATAAAGGTTTATGCAAGGCTACTATGAGTTGGCGGAAAATATTCACTTTAGACTGTAGCTCAGGTGGCGGACTTTGCTGCAGGCCTCTTTGTTGTAGACATCACGAGCCCAACAAGCGTCATAATCGTTGGATCCGTCACTTCGACTTCCATGCAAGGAAATGGGTACGCGACCTGTGCGAGAAGACTGGCATGGAGTTTCGAGTTTGGCCTAGACACCTGTTTTTTGACCGAGGAAGTTGGGGACATACTGTAGTGCAGTTTTGGAAGAGTACAAGGAGAAAATTGCGAATTTGGCAGGCTTATGCAATTGCCAGCATTGGGGTTTTGTATGGATGTAGGGTATAGGACCGCCAGAGTTCAGAAGGTTGGGTCCACGCTATGGTACATCATTGCTGGGTTGTCTTCCGCAACTTGTTTGATTGCGACTCTTGAAGCTGTTCCTGCGTTTTCGTAGTTGGCAGTAAATCATGGTTGTTGCCAATCTAGGTAGCTTTCGATGCAAGCCACAACTGGGTGTATGTCGTGGCCACTGACGCCAATGCTATCGTGGTGATTGACGTCTCGGCTCCGACAGATCCAGTGGTTTTGCAGTCCGCCACGTCCGCGGACCTGCAACAGCCACGTACCTTGCAGATCTTCGGTGATCATGCGCTTGGGTTGCCGTTCAGAACATGTGAGGCATCTAGTTTATCCGAAGCTCTGAGTCCTGGGCAGAAAGTGGCAAAACCCGAGCATAGTTGTTCTGTGTATACTAGTTTCTGGAAATCCTTATCCCAAAGACTTCAGTAAAGGACCCATGTGTTTGACGCATCCTCAAAGACTCACAACAGTCTCCATGACAAACCAGGTGCTTGTGTCTACGGGTTTGACGAATCCCGGGTCCTTCACCGTGCTGGGGAGATGCACCTCAACCTCCTCCACATCCACAATCACAATCTCGTCCACAACTTCAACAAGTATGACAGCAACCTCCAGCACTACTCGAACAACAAGTAGAACGAGCACAGAAACGAGCACCAATACAATCACGACCAGTGTCAGCTCGACATCGGTTTCTACTACGATCAGTGCCAGCTCGGAAACAACGTCTGTTACAAGCAGCACCAGTTCGTTATCAACTTCAAGTACGGCCACTGATCTCAGCCTGGCATCTACGGAGGCAGAATTGGAATGGGTGCTAAGAAGTTAAGGTTCGAGGTTTCTTCTAAAAAGGGGTCTTGTGAATGCGCCCAATTTTGATGGGCCACCTTGGCAACATGAGGATGATGGAAGCTCACAGCTGGGCGTTGGCTACACGATCTTGCTTCCTGTCTGTACATGAATAGGTGACATGTCCCAAAGTTGCTTCACACGGTGCCAAGACATGTAGATGCACATCGTGTGTCGCCTTCCCGAATTTTGTATAAATGCTTGCGATTCCTTCCACTCGCCAACAACCCACGCCCTTTTTTCAAGGTTTTTGGGTCACCTGTATTCCAGTCAAAGGTTCGTTGCTGCCGGTGCACTGACTATTTGCCTGATAGTCGCATGCGCATTCGTGTTGCGGCAGCAGCGCCGCGATAGCCCTGAGGCGGATGCAGAGGTCGCAGCTCAGGCATAAATCCCAGGAGATTTCTCAACTTTGCGGTTTAGGGTTAGGGATTTTTGATCCCATTCCTCAGATGACGAGGAAGAGGTCAATGTATGTATGATTTTGAGAAACTCCGCGCGGTGACTCTTTGTGTCAGCCGACCCCAGAACTGACCAGAACCTACCGTCTTCGTCATCCGTGCTGATTAGCATGATCAAGCTCAATCAGCTTTATAGCAGACCCTAAACCCTAAACCCTATAAACCCTAAACCCTAAGCCGAGGAAACAGGTTCTGGTAGCTGAAGCAAGCTCGTCCGGAGAGCTAGGACTTCTGGGCGGGTTTCTGAGCCAAGACCTCAAAGGTCCGCTCTGTCTTGGGAGTTTCCGAAAATCAGGGACCAAAATATAGGACCCTATATAGTAGGATCCTTATTGTAAGGACCCCAATATGAGGTACCCAATTTTCGGAAACTCCCGTATGGTGCCTGTGGTGCCACACGTTTTTCGGCTTTCCTTCTCCAATTGAGCCCTGCATGAAATTTGACTGAATAAGGGGCTAACGAGGGGTTTCCTGTCGGGGATACTAATGATTTAGTCAAGGGCTCAAACGGCATTGCTGTTGTCCAGACTAGGATCTTGCGTGACCTTCACTTCTCGATAGACCAGCTGTCCTAGGGTTTGGGTAATCTAGGGGCCAAGCAGTTGCGCACTCCAGTGATTCGCATCTTTGGGGAACATCATAGTAGGGTCATATTGGGGATGATCTCACCAACTGTTTCGGCTCCTACTGTACAGTATTTGGGGGGTTACGCAGGTTTTCAGTGTCGAACGCACCACGCACCATCTGCTCAGCGGTACCGGAGGATCTGATAGAAGCGTCACCCAGCGGCCCTCATGCAGGCCGCAAGTCAGCAAGGTGTGAGCAGCAGAGATTTTATTAGGGGCTTGCCTAAACCCTAAACCCTAAACCCTAAACTCTATTGGTATGGTCGCAGTGGGCTCTCACTTCTGGATCCTCGCGAAGCCGCGTGTATTTTCGCAGCTCTTGCAGCGAACCTGCCCCAATTCGTCACTGCAACGACGCTTGAATATCCCTAGCTGAAGTGTCCCGGTGCAGCATTCCCGCGAGGGTTCCCGGGATTTTCACACTTCAGATGCAGGGTCTTCTCTGTTGTGCGCTGAGAAAAGTGACTATACGATAGTGCAAACCGTTCTATGTCAAGTCCTTGAATCGAAGGTTCCCGTGCTTTCTTGTCGGCTAACGGATGCATAGTTCTTCGCAAGCTATTCGGTTCATGACGTCGATGATACCCAAAGTACTGATGAGACTCATTTTGAAGCTGCCCGGTTTGCACATGGAGTGCTCCTGTATATGTAGTCGGCTCCATGCTACGCGTCTAAGTGTGACGATCCTTCCTGTACCGTACCTCCTGATCCCGCACATGTAGCATTTCCGGAAGATATGAGAACAAACAGCCAGAGGTTGAGCTTTTGTGATGACATGCTGTAGGAGCACATATGCGCCCTGCATGATGTTGTAGTTCCTCCAGCATCCAATCCATCTCGGTTGCGATGCATCCTGTTACGTTGCGAGTTCCATCCCATATGCTCCCGTCTGCATTTGTGATTTGAAGAGCGTTCGTTGTCTGAAAGGTTGATGCAACATGTGTGTGTCATTTGTGTCCCTTTTAATGTTTAGCATCTCTGTTTGCTCCAGTTTTCTTGAGAGTTGTTTAACTCCCAAGTGTGTCCACGCGTTTGGACCTCGGGATCAGTGCTTGAGTTCCTTTTAGTGTCTTCCAGGTCGCAGGTTTGCCCGTTTGTCAAGATCGAAAGGTGCAGCTCACACCTGTGCCAGCAGCATTATGGCTTGGATCTCACGAACGCATTGTGAGAAACCCATGGAGACACTGAGCCGATTCCATGTCTTGCTCACTAGAAGTTTGCTGCAATCATGAACCATTCATGCAGCATCCTGAGCAAGATATTGCCGATGCACTGTGAGCCCGGATGTACCTTTGCAAGATGCATTGCAGCAAACCAGTGCGCGATGTTTGACAAGTTTCGCACATAGGTTCATATGCGAATCTTCAATGGCTTTTGCTTTGCTGTTCTAGCGCAGCGGCTTCTGGCATTGGTTCCCTCCGAACATCCGGTGAAGGGCGGCGACGTTTGCTTGGGTGGTAGCCAGTATTCCAATGCAACACCGTCATTGCGGTTCTGCAACTGCCAGGGCGGGATTGGATGCCCATCCCAGGTTGGTGGTGCAAGAAGCAGCTGTGTTTGATTTTAAGCGAGTCATCGTGGAATGCAGGGTTTCAAGCTGGTACATGCAAGCACTGAACTTTTCAATGCCCGCAGGTGTCGTTGAGACTTTTTGGTGTAGCTGCTGGTCCAGAACCTTGGATGCATGCGTACAGCATGGAGATCAACGTTTCAGAGGAGCTCTGGTCTTCCCGTCGCTTTCACAATCAGGAGGCGGAAAGAAGCGGTTCTGTGTTTCTGTGTTGTTGCATTCCACTCCAAAGAAGCCCACGGTGGTTAAGTAAGAGCTTGGTCTTCTTCCTGACAGGACACATCCGACTTCTCGGAGACGAGTGGCGTGTCGTCGTATCTGCTAATCTCGGAGGGTATGGGTCTTGGAACCTTTGCATCCGGGGTCTATGCTGCTCTCTCTGGTTATGTTGGCGAGTCTGGAGCATACCCGCTGAACCTTATGCATTTCGTGACGAGCTCACGTGGAACAGGGTTCCAAACTTCAGAAATTTCTGAGATTCACACCTGCAGCGTCTACGAAGCGAGACCTCCGGCTGCGGCCGGAGACGATTCTGAGGCTTCTGACGGCAGTGATGACGGTGATGATGGGTCTGACACGGAAACCGATGTCAATACCACTACGACAGCGCCGGCGCTTTACCAGCCTCCTACGGAGGTTTTTTGTGGCCGGGAGCTTGCAACCAGCCCCAGCAGGGTGAAGCTGAACATTTACGGATATACCTGGGGGAGCAAGTGGGCAACTGACACCGGCGGCCAGCAGTATTTCTTCTACCGTGTGCGCCTTTGCTTTAGCAGGATCCAAGACTGGTACATCAATCAAGCACACCGTGGGGAAGGCAGGATATGATGACCTCGCCGCAAGGACAAAGACCGTAATGTGTAGGTGTAACCTGTGTTCCCAAGCACTGCGTCAAAGTAAGGTCTCGACATGGCAGTGTTACATGTTCTGACCAATGACAGGCAGCTAGCAGGGAAGAGAAGAGCGGATTTTCACAGAAAGTTTATACCCCCTTCCCGAAGAGCGTCGTCTGCGAGTCCCCACAAACTAGCTCGTTTGGCTTTCATGCTTTTTCGTTTCCAAGTCAAGCATCCGAATCCAGCAGACCGGTTGCCGTTTGCGACCCTGCAGGCATACTGGGCACTGGGCAGGAAGTGGAGGTTTTGGATTTTCAGCAGGAGCTCGCACCAGCGACTTTGCACTGCATGTAATGTGGGAGCGACGCCGCGACGCCCTCCTGTGAACTGATGCAGTTAGTGCTTAGCCACACACATGTTGACTCGCACACAGGTGGACGTGCAGCCGCAGGCACACATGGAAGCACGGACCATGCACATGAGACTGCCGTGGCAAGCATGTGCGGCCTGAATTCAATCCCAGTCTCTAACGGCCTTTTTCTCCGTTTCTCCCTATTTTCAGAAAGGCAGAGTTGTTTGGTAGCTGTGCAGCTGCATCTCTGCTGCAGGAGGGTGGTGGAACCTTCGGCTACTGGTTTCCAAAGTTCTACTGGACAGGCCGATACCAGGGCTAGGGGCGCAATGCTCGAGCTGGTGGTCTCTTCAAGCCATGTGGCAGAAGTGATCCTAAATTGCATAGCAAATACAAACCTTAAACATCCCTGAAATCTAAACAACCAGGCAACCACTTGAACTGCACCTTCGCGGATCTTATGTGGGACCTCCCGAGACTTTGCTTAACCAGACGGGTCACGTCGGGCAGAGGAGAATGGGTTGGAGGTCTTCGTGTTGGAACTGAGAGCTTTACATCTTGATGTGGTGACGAAGCTGTTGAGGCGACACCAAAGTCTTGTGGCAAGGCTAAGTACTTAGTAGCACAGTATTCCGGTCATGAATCACTCAAGCCTTAGGCAGGATGCTCTGAGCTTTCAGGGACGTTTCTTCTACACCGCTCCGCCGGGTGCCCCAAATGCGACGCCCGAGCAATCAGTTGTGAGTTCTAACGTCTACTCTTCAGGAAATGGGCTTGCCCCCTGGGCCAGTTCGGAGCTGTCCGCGTCACCGCGAGCCATGCAGGCTACGGAGCTTGGCGTGCGATGAGGGTTTTGCTTCTTTGTTGTCGTCGATGTTTAAAAAAGGCAAGGAAGTGTGTTCGAGGCTTCACTGGAGCGAGGAACTATGTCTAAGTTTTCCACCTGGCCATTTCGGATCTCGCTACCTTGGCCCTTCGCCATACACCTGTTGTTCAGACTTAACACCAGGCATCTATCACAATACTTAACCTGTTCAACGTCTGATTGCTAGTGCCACTGCTACAGTAACGCCATGTTGTTGTTGTTGCCCATCTTTCCGGAGTAATGTCGTGAAAAAATTCCACAACGACATGCGAAGCAGTGTTGAAAATAATGGACTTCTCATAGAGCAGAACATATGCTGGTTGTGGTAAGATTCCTCCACCGCACCTTTTGGGTCAGGAGATAGCTGCGACGGAGAGGGAACCGATGGCGTGGTGTTGAACATAGGCGGCTGCTTGGAGTTTGCACCGGCTCACCTTCCCAGTACAGGGCCGGAATTCATGAGAGTAGCTCCCAGAGGTGGAAATCAAGGTATCTTTTGCCAGCCGACGTATTCATCTGCTTTCTCCGAACCCACCCAGCTAGTTGTGCTTTGTGTCGTTGTACCTACCAGGCCCTTTGTATGATCGAGGGAACAGCTGTACCTGTGCACACCGAGCCCGGAACTACAGCTACTTGATAGGTTCCGTACCTAAGGAAAGCGATGCATAAGGATTTGAATGCAAGCCCTGAAAGTTTCAAGCGCAGGCTTTGACTTGGACCACGTCGGGACAAAGGACTGGTGATAACAGCTTACTAACCGTTCAGTGACAGAATCTTCTGCATGGAGTTGATGGTGGGTGCCAGCGGACTGACAGCTGCATGTTGTGTGAAGTAGTCGTTGGCAGACTACACGGCCAGGGATTGTGATCGTTATGCTGACTTTGTTAGGAAGCGGATTGTCCACTTGCAATCCTTTCCTGTAGAACTAGCTGCTTCAAAAGTTTCTGTGATGGCCAGGACAGGTGGTTCATGTACAGCATGGAGGCTGGTAACATGTCCCACAGGCTTTTCAAGTCTTCATCAGTCTTGTCGCCGGCCCGACATTTTGAATTCTCTCTCGTGGGAGGTGAACCTGACCGGCTCCGTGACCTTTGCCGTGGTCGGTGCTTCGCCTCGCTTGAGGCCGCCCTGCGCTCAGCGGTGATGTGGACCGGACCTGGGCTTCTTACGCAGAACACGGGTCAAAGATCCCAATCATCATCAGGGCAGGTCGGGAAGAAGTTGTCGATGCCCCTCACGTTTCTGCCACTCATGAAATTTCCGGGAATGCGCTGCTGTTTGAGCAATGCGTGAAAGAACGATATTAAGTACGAGTGTGCGTAAATGTGTCCACGTGCGTCCACGTGTCTGCATAGGGCATGTATACTAAGCATGCATGCATGCATGCATGTGTGCGTGTGTGCAAGCAACTGTACATGTGTGTTCAGGCAACGCCCACTCATTGCAGTTGCTTGTGCATTTGCGAAATGTGCGTGTGTACGTATATAAGCTTGTACATGTGCATGCACAGATATACATATGTATTTGAGGTTCATTAACATCACTAGTCGTTTGTGTATGAAATGTATGTATGTATGTATGTATGTATGTACGCACGTATGTATGTATGTATGTATGTATGTATGTCGCCATGTATGTGTACGGACGTATGATTACGCATGTACACACACACACACACACACATATATATATATATATATGTATGCAGGCTTTTAGGTATCTATAGGTATGCAGGTAAGTATGTATGTATGTACGTATGTATGTATGTACGATTGTAAAAGTGTATCCGTGAGTGTACCTCTGCATGCATGCATGCATGCATAGATGGATGGATGGATGGAGAGATGGATGGATGGATGGATGGATGTGTGGATGTGTGGATATAGGTAGGTAGGACGGAAGGCATGTACGTAATGATACGCGTATGTATGCATGCGTGCATGGATGCATGTATGCAAGTATGCATGTATGAACGTACTCATGTAGGCATGCACGCATGTATGTCGGTCAGTCGGTCGGTAGGTCGGTTGGTAGGCAGGTATGTATACACTTACACTCCGATGTACACATTCACGTACGTGCATGTGCATGCATGCACATGCATATGAAGACCTTCTGCCGGTGCTGTCTGAGGCTGATGCTTGCCCCTTTGTACCTTGTCCTCTTGTTCCGCAAGCTCTGAGACTTGCCGAGGGAAGGCCATCCTTTGGAGCAAAGTCGACAGGTAAGATGCCGCCAGAAGGCGTGTTTCTGGACATACTTTGCCCCGCACTGGTAGTTCGGGCTGAATGCGGTGGAATTCGGCCTGTTGGATTCCGACACCACAGCGTCTTGGTGGGTTCTGAGACTAAATTCATCTCCCAGGGCCTACTCGCGGAAAGTCTCGTGAGAACTCGAGGATCGGAAGCATGACACACCAAACCCTACCGTAAACTCTAAAGCACTTGCAGAGTTCCGGGTCGGAATCCAAGCGCAACAGATGCAGAGCTCACAGGTTTGACATAGAAAGGCATGATCTGAAGGAGCTTTTGGGACCTAAGGCTGTGGGCTGAAAGAAGTATTCAAACTCTGAAGATAAAAGAAGATGAAGATGCTGATGGTAGAAGAAGCATCTCCGATCTGAATGGCCACATCTGCAACCTCTCAATACTAGCTACTGCGAATGCAAAAAGCCCATGATCCACATCTGGGCCGACAGCCGGGAGGGCCACGGCCATGTCCCAAAGGCGCAAGCCGCGCAGACTCTGACAGCAGGGGGTTGGCTCACGGGTTCGCCACTCGGAATAGGTTTTCCTACGGTTAGCTTGGGGAAGTTGTGGCGATGCTTCAAAACAGGTGTTTCCCAAACAACTAGGCACCGTAGCATCTGCTGTCAGAAGAGCCACGGGCCATGGGTGTCCCGTCATGTCGACGCCATGCCCGAGTCGTCGCGTGTCACCTCATCGAGCATGGTGCGGAACTTCTCAGGGATGCCACGCTATGTAAGGTATGCTATAGACTATGTCCTATATACTGTGTTCAATATAAAGTACATTCTATATACTATGTGCTACGTACTTATACAACAGAATAACTACCATCAACCATATACCATATCATAAGGCATAAAATATCTACTATATACCGCGTGCAAACACCCGGAGATGCGGAGCCCTTGTGGAGTGTCCCTGCCTCGCTCTTGATCACGGCCAACTCTTTGAAGAAGAGTGGTAAAACTCTCGACTCCCGTGCTTGTGCCTGATGATCTGATTCAGGCCTGCTACTGAAGAGCAGGGAGAGATTTGGGTGAGAATCTTGCAGCCTTTTGAGCTTCCACGAAATCGCATGGAGGTGTAATCTGTTGATGGGGTTTATGGTCCTGATGGATCGCTCCTGGATCGCGTAGCAACGACCCTGATCGCTCCTCATGACCGTTCCGAACCGAAGCTTGGAGCTCAAACCGCCAGACCCTCAACCCAAAACTCCAACCCCAAACCCCTAACCCTAAACCCCTAAACCCCTAACCCCAAAACCCCTAACCCCGAAAACTCCCTGAATGGTGAAGCCATGTTCACCGACTGGCTGGATGCGGGGCCGCTGGACTACAGCAGCCTGGCAGGGGCCTTTGCTCCCTGGGCACGGGGCGCCGCGTCGGACGCCCAGGCCGATCCGTGTAGGTACCTACATATTTCAAGTATTTCAGTAATTTCAGTTATTGAAATCGTGGGGTTTCCCTGGATCGATACAGCAAAGCCCCGGATTTCAATCATATCTGTCATTAGTTGTAAGAAGAGAACTGTGGTTTGTTTTCAATGAAGTGAACGGGAACAAAGTGAGAGAGCGTAAGCGAGAAACAAACCACAGTGAACGAACCATCGTGATTTCATTACCCTCTTCATGCTTTCTTCCTTTTAACACATGACACCGAACCCCGAACACGACACAGAGAATTAGCTGTTGACTCCAGTAAAACGCCCTTATCAACTAGAATCACCTAATCTTGGAAGAGCCCTTTTAGTTTGACCTATTTCCCTGAGTTAAAGGCTGAGTCTTATTTCCACCTCTTCCTCGGTTCCAAAAAAGACCAATTTTTATTAATTAAAATACAATGGAGTGAAACGAAAGCGTGATTTTGTTATCAACAAAAATTGAGCCTTTTTCGCTTATTTTTCCACCTTTGGAATAATACACATTTTTCACCTATTAATTTCCCATCTTTTCTGCTTACATTTTCTCTTCAAGGATTTATTATAGGATTTTCTCCTCATTTTCCTTACCTTTATATCTTCTAATAAATTCATTACCGTTCCACTTTGTTCATATCCTCACATTCTGGTCCTGGTGTCGTCTGGGATCGCTTCTTGCTTCCGGTTCTTTAAGGTGAGCAGTGAAGGGTGTGATGAATTAAATGAAATAAAACAAATGAGCCGTGCGTACTGCGTGTTTATTTTGTTTCATTAGAACACACGAGCGTACGAACACAGGATTTAACAAAGAACCGTCTATAACCAAGAATTATTGACCATTGACTGCCAAGGAACAAATCATCCAAGAAGCATTCTATCTCTCATGGTTGTTTCAACTTTGCTTTAATGTGAGAAAAGAGGTAGTGAAAGAAAGGAAGCACGCTCTCTTCTCACATTAAAACAAAGGAAGGAAACACAAAAGACCTAATTTTATGAAGAGATTTTTTTTAGTGAAATTAGGTCTTTTAATACAACTAAATTCCTGCACTAACTTCTCTCACTTTCCGTTCCTTCTTTCACTCAATTCATGCTTCATTCCACTTCGTTCCCTTCGGTATAATTGAGTGAGGAACGAACGAACGGAGTGAGTGAAGTGAGTGCTTAATTTGAATAAAAAGAAACAAGTGAAAGAAGTAAACGCGTGTTCTTTTTATTTAAATTCAGCACACACAAAGTTTCAATGATTTCAGCTAATTATTCGGGCCTCGAAATGTTGCAGTGTATTGAAATAGCTGAAAGGACACCAGATGTCAGTTACTTCATATATATACATATATATATATATGCACTTATACATATGTGCCTTTGTTCGTACATGTTTTCACGTGATGTCAACTACCATAACTTTTGTGTTCAAAACATTCAATCGCAGCTGTTGGAATCTCTCTGACGTGTATGTACATGCACATGAGCGTTACATATATATATATATATATACATATTCATACATACATATATATATATATACACATGTATATACATATATATATATATACATATATATATATATATATATATATATATATATACATATATGTTTTCTTATATACACACGAACATGCTACCCCCCCTCATGTACCCTCGTTTGGGATCGTGGTCGCGTCCCTTCAAACCTTTCCAATCTCCACTCCCATTCTTGGTCGTATCTGAAATGCGCGAATGTATCACACGTGTTCTTTTATGCCAGTATCAAGTGTAGTTTCATTATTGCCTTTCCCAATGATATTGTTACCATTACCGCTGTGTCGATTGCTGTGGTTATAGTCACCGTTCTGGTCACTTCAGTAATACCCAACCGCTCTATTTGTGTGTATTTTTTTGCCTTACTATGTCTCAATAGACAAATCTTCTGGGTGCATTCTTCCTGTGATTCACTCAGGGTACGTGGTAAATTACTCAGCAGCTGCTGTTCACACTATTTCATACTGGCCACGTATGATAAAGTAAATGTATGCCACACTCTGATAAAGCGTACACATACCAGCAATTATTGTTCGAATCTCCACACCGGTGCTTGCGTTACCACCAACGTACACAAGCACTGCTAGTAGAACGGTGGCATACTCAGCAAACATGCATGTTCCTCAAAACCAGCTGAGAGAGGTTTGTAATTGGTTAAGACCTGAGACAATTCATCATGCTTTGGCTGCTTGTTGCAGTTTGTAATACTGTTTTGGCTACTTATTGACCGAGTCTGGTGTGGTTCTCACGTTCTTGATTTTTCACATCAGCTTACATGTTTGTTTTGAGTTTACTTCATCTTAAGCCTGCGCATCATTCAAGTCATGCCCATCTTATTTTAAGACACCCCCCCAATGCAAACACAGAACATCAAGGTGGAACTAAACGAACTTCTGGATGTCTTTGAAACTTCTTTGCTGCGCAAATCTAGACAAGAAGTAGGAAGTGACAGGAGTGGTCATGACGATGACAACTGAATGATAGGGGGCATGTTTTCTGAAAGGGTCAATCACATATAGAGTATGGTGGATATGTTACGTCAGCAGCGACAGTAATTTAATAGTAGCAGTACCAGCAAAACAGTAACCCACCCAAAAAAGCCAGCAGTATCTATCCTTGTTAAGTTCCCGTACTGAATTGCATGATACCTATAGAGCACAGCAAGACCAGAACGACAGGCTCGAAACACAAGATGCAATGGTCAAACCGCAACAGTCCACGTTCCAACGGATTCAACATGTATTCAGTTGGTTGGGGCTTGCCAGGATCATCCGAAGGATTTCTGAATCATTTTGATTAGATTCGGGCCCGGCTCCACATCCAAGAACCCCCAGCAAGACCTCTGGGCAGTCTTGGATTTTGGACCCGGGCCCGAATCAACATTCGGAGATCCTTCGGATGATTCGGGTGATCGCTGGATCCAAGATTGCCCGCGCAAGACCTCTAGGCAATCTTGGATGTTGTTGGCCCGCCTCAAAATGATTCGGAAATGATTCGGATTATTCGGGACTGCTTTGGAGGGAACCCGTCAAAGACCTGAAGGAAGACAGTTACGATGTACAGGCGCTCCCCCGATTCCAATCTGCCACACCGTCTTGAATCTGAGATTCAGGAAACATGTTACCGTTGTTGGCCCCGGGTTCAGCCTCTTTTTTCTGGTGAGCCTCGCGGCTACACGTTGACAAAATGGTAGTGTGAATCATAGAACAGGTATCATGACAAAAACATAATACACAGTTGAAGTACAGCCGACCAGCAGACACGGCCTACAACTGCAGACGCGAAGAAGGGTTCCTGCAGGCTTCCGATGATCGAAGCCCAACATCGGACAGCGACACAGATGGGTCGCCTGCACCTGAGGCTCATTGGGCCTTTAGGTTGTGGAAGGCTTCTTCTTGACACCGTCCTGCGAAGCACATGATGGAAGAGGGGATGTGCTTAGCTAGTAATCTAGGCCTTCGGCCTTCCACGATGATGCGGTTCCTCTTGTGACTTTCAGGTCTCACGCAAGACCCCTTCTCAAAGAATCCCCAGGAGGCCGCCAAGAAGGCGGCTGCCCGGGCAGCGCCCGTGGAGGAGCCCGGGCAGGAGCCGCCGTGGTGCGTTCCGAGAGTAGGACCTCTCGCGTGAGCTTGTTATTTCCGGAGTCCCCACTGCGGCCATCTTGAAAAATCGCTCCATGCAGGAGGTGCGCCAACGTCGCCGCCTTCTGCCTGAGTGGCTGAAGCGAACTACCCAGTCAGAGGGTGAGGAGGCCAGTTTGGTAGGTTTCCACAGGCAGCGTCAGACGTGTGTACGTGCTGACAAGGGTCATCAAAGGAAAGGCTCATGTCTGACCTGACCAACGCGTGCCGGTGTCCGAATCATTTGCCGAAGGCAGCAGCCAGCCCTGCGACTTGCACGGTCTCCACCGACGGTTCTGAGGCATCTGAGACAAGTCGGGGATTGAGGAAGTTGGCTCTCGTGCTTCCTTCACCACATTCATGTCAGGAGTTTAGAGTGCGCGGGAGTGCTGTGTGCATCCAGCCCGTCCTCTTGTCAAGACATCGTCTCTGGCTGGCTTCAACATTTGCCAGAGCGTTTCGCTCATGCCTCCGCGAAGCATTTTCTACTGTGGCCCACGGCTCCTGGAAGGTGCACATCAGCGGTCCTCTTATCCGAGTGGCTTGACTTTCGATCGGAGTGGTGGCAGAGCCGACGGAGCCATCGGGAACATGAAGTCTTCAATACTATGGAGACAAAGGGAGACCGCAAAGTTCACCGACGGCTCTACCTTCAATGTAGACCTCTGCACCTTTGAAACTTTAAGTGTCGAGCTCTCTGCTTCATGCCTCTTCTCCTTTCCCCTGATCTTGGTCTTGACCGCTGAACCCGAACTCCCCGCTCAGGTGAAGGGTTGGTGGCGCAAGGGCCCCCGCTTTGACCAGCGCTTTGCGGAGATTCGGAGCCTTGGGAGCTCTTCTGGAGTTTTTTAGGCCCCAAAGAAGCACAAAAGCAAAAATTAGGATATGGATATTTCATATAAACCCCCTTATGATGAAGCCCAATAAGGTGGGGGGATATCCCTATAAAATTCTTATGTGCTTTTGGGGTCCCTAGGGAGTGCTTAGCTCCGCATAAGCGGACTTGGGAGACTCCCTGTGACTTTGTTTCGCAAAGGACTGGCGAAAAGAACCAGATCGAGCTGATCTGGCTGCCTGGCTTGATCTGGCTTCCACCCTAAACCCTACCTAAACCCTAGACCCCCTAGACCCTTGTGAATGGTGAGGGCGGCGTTGAGCTTCTTGGATGATCGCTTGTAACGGTTCTTCAGGAGAGGGAATTCAACATGTTCATCATTGCATTGCTGAGTGCCAGCGCGAAGCCCACTCGGCAGTTCTTGAGAGCTTCAGAAACAAGGGACCCCAGTATCGACACTAAACTGCGAAATCTGCTATAAGGAGCCCCTAAGCCCTAAACCCCCCAGAAACCCCTGCAAAGCCAAAGCCCCCGGCTTTGAAGAAGCTCCAACTAAGTGCGTGTCAGGAGTCGCACGGAGAAGGGGCTGAAGAGGATCCCTTTGCAGGGCGTTACTTTGGAGCCCTTCGCCCTGGAGGGCCTCTTCGGCTTCCGTCTCCTTCCGCTTCCGCAGGCCCGAGCCTTCTGGGGAAGTCTGGTCTCAGTGGCAGGCATAGAACCTGGGAGCTTTCCGCAGACCGTGCTGCTCTTGGCATCGCGATCAAGAGGTGTAGGAAAGTGCTCCGTGAGACTCGTGACATCTTCAACAATGTGCGGGCAGTCGTGAGACGCTGGGGGAACTGGTGCAGGATGGAGACCCGGTTGACCTGGCCACCAAGACCGCCTCTGAACGGGACTTGTGGACCAAGGCCCAGCGGGTACACGCAGAATTTAGTATGGTCCAGTCTATGATTGGAGAGGATAGGACAAGATAGGATAGTGTAGCACAGTACGGCGCAGTATACTGCAGTATGGTATAGTATAATGCAGCATAGCACAGACCACGACTCTTTTCTATTTTCTCTCCTGTCTGAGCTGGAAGGCCATAGCCGCGGCCGCTGGCCAGCGCCCCTCGGACGGCAGTCCCGTGGCAGGCACGCTCAAGGCGGGGATGGCTGGCATCTTCGGGAGTATTTTCTTGGGTTCAGCTTCTGCTTTCACGGCTTCAAGGTTGTTTGGTGGAAGCTGTCGGTTTCTGATGTTGCTGATCAGCCTTGAGGTGCAAATCCAGTGCTGGGCAAAGATGGGGACTCAATCCAAGATTGATTCCCTCTGTAGTCAGCCTGAATCTTCCGATCAGGATGAAGCGACACTCACGCAGCACGACCATGAAACAACAACTTCTCAAGAGCCTTGCGGTTGAGAAGAAGCAGGTGAGGCTGCTGGAGGCCACAGTGCGCCAGGAGACATCATGGAGACGCCAGTCACTGGTGTCTTGGCATTGTTGTGGAGCCGCATTTCGGCGCAGGTGGAGAGAGAGGGCGCGAGAGAGAGAGAGAGAGAGCTGTCTGCACAGTATACCCCGAGCACTTCCCAAAAACGTACTGGTCTTAGCTGTTGTTGCTTGTTGTACCAGGGAAGTGCTGCCAGCCGTAGGTACTACTTGGGGGATTCGCCTGTCGCAGGGACTTAGGAAAGTGCTACAGAGAGCGCGGTGACGAGGCCGGGAGGCACGATAAAGTAAAGGGTCAGGGAGGTTTACCGACAGGCGAACTCCACAAGTTACAACGACCACGGGGGAAACAATCCCCAAGCACTGCTGCCCCAAAGCCCTTTTCCACCGAAGATGGGGGAAGGGGGGCGCCTAGGCGCGGGCTCCTTGGAGCTCGACCCCAGTGAAGTGAAGTGAAGTGAAGAAGAGACCAAGAGAAAGAGAGAGTGCTCTGTAGAATCAGAAGAACAGATAAAGACAGCGAGGGGTTGGCGAGCTCGCATGCAATGCCGGCAGTTCTAAGGCAATTTGAGGAACCAGGCCCATGTTGCAAGCAGCCGTCATACCATGAGAACACGGTAACGCTTGTACCTGCTGACCCAGCAGGAGACAAAAGGGCAGGGCAGAGAACCTGACGAGCATCGCGAACGCAGAATACGTAAGCGCACCTGAGTAGAACATGTCCCGTAAACCAGCTATTCAGCTCGCATTTTGCTAGCCACTTGTTCAAATTAAGGTCCCGAGCCCACCGCTTTTCTGCGTCGTTGCCTGCAGCTGGGACTTGCATTGTAACTTCACGGCTGCCGGCGTCAGGTACAGAGTGGCTTCAAGCAGGGAGCTGGTGGTCGTAAGCTTGCAGATCTAAGCGGCCGTAGGAATAGACCAGGCAGGTGCAAACGAGTGACTGGCGTTTGTAGTCGGAACCCGTAGCTCTAAACCCTAAGTAGTCAGAATGCTGGTGGTATGTTGCCCTCCGGCTGCTCGCCACTTACTGTCCTTATGTTGTCGTGGACACTTGACTCCTTCAAAGTCTGCTCAAGCCTTGCTGTTGCTCAGAGTTACCACAAGGGGCATTCTAAAGGCTATCATGGAGTTTTGGAAAGGTAGTATTTCCGCATATTGTGGTCCGCATCGTCGTGCGGGCACGGCACGAAGCCGACTGAAGCTCTCAGGCTGTGGCATGGCCTCCCGCACGCTGCCTCGGAGGCAGCCGGACGTTTCTGGGGATTCCGTGGAGGCCTTGGAGTTCCCTCTGGAGGACGGTGGGTTCTGAGAGGTGCCGGCCGAAAAGAGACTTTTTCACAGAAAAATCCTTACACCTGAACAAAGTTGCCCTGCGTATCGAAGCAGGACGACGACCCGGACGCCCTCATCCAGGTGCCTTCGATGTCGGTATCATCCTTCGCCCAAGCTCTGTTTGAGACAAGTTACAAGAACGACTGCCACAGTCCAACATTCGCCACCAGGTGGAGGTCTGGAGCTCTGATGGTCGCAGTCGTGGCGTGTTGCGTGGTCGGGTGGATGTGCCACTCTACTGTGCGGGGAGGAACTGCAGCTGGGCAGAAGACTTCAGGATTGTAAGGCTACTGGCACACTGGCAATCCGTGGGCTATCCTGAAGCAGAAGCAATCCTTTCAGCCCTTGTCATTTTAATCCCCAAAATCCCTAAACCCTAACCCCTAAACACATCCTAAAGCCTTAAACCCAGATAAGACTTAATGAAGTTTGAGCGCGGCGCCCTTCAGGCATGAGAGAGCTGCAGCTTCCAGTGCGGGACTTGCACCGGCCCCGCGGCGAGGGCAGCCAGGTTGGCTCTGTACGGCTGGAGGCGGAGAGTAAAGTAGGCTCTGCTTTGACACCCTGGAGCTTTCCCAGAATCATATATGCTATTTCTCGGCTTTGAGATAGTCAGAGATTCTGGAGCTGATGGGACCGAGCTGGGATCTTGGTTGTTTGGGTTCAATATATTACGAGGAAGGATGGAACTCCGGATGTAGCGACTCGTTTGCCGTGCCTTCGCGTATGGCGGCGGTCTTGTGCATAGTCCTGTACACATGACTACCTATAGATGTATTTAGGCAATCTATTTCTTTGTTATACATATATACCTACCTACCTACCTGTCTATCTGTCTATCTACCTATGCATGTATCCATCAATCACTCAGTCTTTCTATATGTACATTATGCATACATACATAAATCCGTAGGTCTGACACGTCGGCACACAGATAGACAGACAGATGCAGCTTTGGCAAGGTGGGCTTCCACCAGAGCTTGGGGGCTCTGTTGCTGCCGCGGCCCAGCAAGCAAGCGACGACGGCCTGGCAGACTGTCGGTGGTGACAAGAGCATCCGGGAGCAGTTCCGGGAGCTGGAAGCCTTCATGCAGCAGTTCGAGGTGTTTTCGAGCCGCTTCGGCAACCACTGCTTCACCTCCCGCACTCTCTCCATGGAGTACCGCCGCATCATACAATGGGACAGCCCGCTGCTGACGCTGCTGTGCCTCCTTGCGCTGACCATCCAGATCGGTGGGGTTTTTGTCAAAACACATGCAAGCAGAGTCCCATTCGAAAGAACATGGGCCACGTGGGGTTCTTTGAATGAGGAAGCGGCTTTTCTTAACAAGCTTGGCATGGTAGCCAGGATTCTTTCATGAGTACATCTTGCCTGTCGTGGTGCTGGTTGTCCTTGGAGTTGTGCTGTGGCGCCTTGGCCGCAGATGCGACGTCTGAACATCTATGCGCCTGTTGCGAGTTCCAGTTGAGCCGACCTTGATCGTGAGTTTGGAAAATCAGCCTCCAAGGTATCATCCTGTCCTGCAGCGCTATTGCGGTTCTTGGGAGCAGTGGTGGGAGGAGTGGCTGCAGTGCTTTTAGAGATTCTAGCCAACAGTAATGGCTGAGATGTAAGCTTGAAAGCTTCGAGGAGTCGTGGTGCAGCCGGCGCTCCGGCTCCCAACCGCGTAGCATGCGGTCTTGCTCCCTCGCCTCTGCAGACAGCTCCCTGGCTAGACGAGGATGTGGAGCCTTTGGTAGCCGGCGGTCAGTCTGTGTAAGGAATTGAGGGCGGAGCTCCTGGCCTAACACCAAGATACCTGGGTGGTTGCCAAAATCATGGTCCTTTTTTGGGTACCCTAAATATTAGGTGCCGTATTCAATTATAGGGACCCAAAGCGGGACCATAATTTTGACCACTACCCACCTAGACATAGGCCACGAACACTCGCAGCCCCCAGCCTTCACTGACGCCCAGGCGTCAAGAATCTCCCAAGCGAGGCTTTGACGGAAGATGGGCCGGCCGAGGTCCAGGCGCCACCTCGGGACTTTCATCCTTAGAGTCCTTCTGGTGATGGTGGTGCTTACCTTTGGTTAGTGGGGAATGGAGGAATGGGGCACAAGTATAACTACTATTACTACCAGTCTTCCATTCCCTACTAACCAAAGGTAAGATGGTGGCAATGATAGTCAAAGCAGTGCCAACACTAGCAACATAAATGCTGGTTACGAGTACTGGTGCCAATACTAAAACCAGTTTTTTATCATACCTAGCACCAATACGAGTGCTATTGCTTTTGCTATCAGAAGTTTTTGCGCTCTTATCATTTCTAAGCATCATACTGCTGCTAACACTGGTTGTGATGATGAGGAGTGGCATAATTGCGACGGAGGTCTTTCACACACTCATGTATATACGTAAGGTATACATGGCTGAGCTTCTAAACCTGGTTCGAGGGAGAAGGGATCCACACCCCGCCTCTCTCGAAAGCATTGATTGCAGCCTTGGTGAGTTAAAGCCAAGCCCAATCCACAGCCCATCCGAGAGAGCAAAGCCGAGTACCCCACGCAGGAGCGCTACGAGAACGAGCGCCGCCTGGTGCTTGGCAGGCACGAACCTCATCCACAACTTCTGAAGGCTTGAAGGAAGGTCAAAACAGTTTTTGGAAAAAGCGCGCTGTCGCAAGCGTTCATGTCCTTTGCGAACATGCCTACAACACCGGTATTGACAGCGTTATAAAGCACTCTTGCCTCTTGCCCATCCACTGTGTGTTTGAGGCTTCTGGAACAAGGCACCCTGTCACAAGCGTTCATGTCTTGTTCTAACATGCCTAAAGCTGGTAGAGACACTGGTATTTGCTGACGTTGAAGGTGTCTGGAACAAGTCATGGGCAGTCGGGACTGTCGTGGACATATAAGACATGTGGGTATTTACGGCACTTGTCTTCTTTCCACCACATACTTCCAAAACCTTGTTTTCTCAAGAAATTAGGTTTCTACCTAGGAAGGAAGCACATTCACGAGCCACGGAACCTCCGGGGTCCTCGGGCGCACGTGACCTAGTTTGGTAAACGCAGCCG